CTGGGGAGACCACGCAGAGTAGGAAGGACTTTCCCACACGGGCAAGGCGTGACTCAAGGCACAAGGCAAGAGAGCAAGTGACGCGTGTGGGCTACAGGAAGCAATGTGGGGGCACCTTCTGTATCTACCGGGTGGGGGCAGGGCTGCATGAGATGGGGAGGAAGCTTGGGTCTGAGGGAACCCTAAATGCCATGCAAAGAAGTTTGGTCTGTATCATGGAGACCTGTCAGCAAAAAGTATTCAGGAGAAAAGGAAATTCTGCAAAATACAGATTGAAAATGCAGTTTTATTTTTCTTAAGTTGAACATTTTCTTTGTTTGGTTTTAAAATAATTCCAGACACTGGAGCAGAATGTATCGCTCTTTCTTTTGTAAAGTCTGGTCAGAACTGAGAAGTGTTGTGGCTGCCCACCCCTTCCCACCCTGAGCGAGCGCTGCCTTCAGACGTACGAAGTAGCACACACGAGTGGCTAACACAGTGTTACCAAGCCAACAACCCGCGCTCTCTGCTTCCAGGAACAAGAAAGATGCTATAATTAACCCACTGTCTGAAAGCGTACCATGAGCATGGTTTACAAAACGCTTAGGAGAGGATTCTGAAGTAGACTATAAACACTGCATTTATTTTGTGTTCACTGGCTATCAGCTTAGAAATTCAGTGCCATGGCTACTGTTGAGTCCCTGGAAAGCACAAAAGGAAACCTGAAGCCTGGCCTTGTGTCCAAATGCATGAACCGCAATGAAGGAGCCTTTGCTCTACTGCAAATATACTTGAGTTCGCAGGGTGGGAGGTGAGAGGCTTGCAATGGTGGGACTCAAATCACGAGTTTCAATAACCCCCCACCTCCCCCCAGCTTCCTGGCAAACATCAAGACTGCTTTTTCATTTTAGTCATCACCATGGGTCTTTCTTCCCCCTTGTTCACCCACCTTGGTTAGTAGGCATTGAATTTTCTGTCCCACTAACCCCTTTCACTTACAAAGCTTCCAACAGAGAGTGACAAGTATACCCAACCTGCAAGTCACCAGCTACCCCAAAGTCACACACAGTCATCAGACTGATCGTAAGAGGGTCAGTGGAATGCCGGGTTCTTACTCACTGGATATCTTACTGGCATTAAAGCCAAGGGAGAGAGGTGGTAACTGTTATTTGGAGGTGTTAATGTGAGTTAATTAAAGTGACATCAATCATTGTCCTCACCACCTTCATCATCATCATCCTCATGATGCCAAAAAGATAAGGCAGAGTCCTATGGACACATCCCCAACTCAGACTTTAAATAAACTCATGGTGGCCACTCTGTCTCCCTGGAAACAAGGAAAAAGGAGTAGAAAACAGGAAAGAAGAATGAATCCACTCCTCCCATAATCCCATGCTACTGACTGTTGGGACGCAGGCTGGCTCACCTGTGACATCCAACCTGCTTTGCCATCCAGGTGCTCTGTGACAGCTGCAGATTCCTGAGGCTGCCTGGTTTCACTACACATCAGTGGATCTACCGTACTTCAACCCAAGTCTTCTCCAGCTCACATAGACCCAAGGCACAGTATTTCTTAATTCACCAGGTAATTTACCTGGCCCTCCTCAAAGTACTTAAGGTTCAAGATCAAGGGGGCAGGACAGGAGGAGAGAAGACCTCAAGTCTCTAAGACCTTTATCCAGCCCCCGTTTGAATAAATGAGCCACTAACTATAAATGAACTATTCAAAGTGTTAGTTTTTGGTTTTGTTTTTTTCAAGCAAAGGATGTCGATTCTTCCCTTCCCCTCCCCACCCCACCCTACATGCTCTTCAGCTTGAACAAAAATAGCACCACAGCTGAGGCTGCCATGACAACCAATGAGAGCTCATGCTTGTCCACCGATGATGAAAGCTGCCTATGGCTCCCACGGCCCTTTACCAGCTGGGGTTGGGACCCTTATCCTTCTTCCAAGTTCAACCTTCAGGAAGCTTTCCTGTGTAGAGCCAAGGTGCTCTCTCCTCCTTCAAGAAGCCAAGGATTAGCTGGAGTTGTCTCACTACATAGGGCCTCAACTTTTCAATTTGTTCTCATTTGTTCCTTTCAGCATCTCCAGGCATGCAGGACAGAGGTGCCTATGTCCAGTTTGCAGATGGAACAATGGAAGCACGAGGCCATGAACTGACTGGCCGTAGGTCAGGGGTCCTCAAACTTTTTAAACCAGTTCACTGTCCCTCAGACTATTGGAGGGCCGGACTATAGTTTAAAAAATATATATGCACACTGCACATATCTTATTTTGAAGTAAAAAACAAACAGGCAAAAACATCCACATGTGGCCCACGGGCCGTAGTTTGAGGACACCTGCACTAGGTCATTAGCTGCTGGTTTCATGGTAGAACCACATTTAGAACTCAAGGTCCTGCCCCCCAGAACCAGTTAGCAGAAGAACAAAAGGGACAGCCACTCATGAAACGTGACCCAAAAGGGGGAAAGATTCCTCTGGGTGAGCTGCTTCCTAGCCACAGACTGAAGTTCCCCAACCAGTCTCTGGGACACAAACCTAGGAAGGGTTGAGGAAAAAATCTGCTTCCCCACCATGGTAAACAGAGCCCGCAAAAACCCACCTCTATTCTGGACTCAGCATCTCTGGGGCTGCTGCCACCAAACACAGAGCCCGGAAAGAGCCCAGGAAAGCTTCGCTGGTCGGGTTCATCAAGATCCCTAAGAGGCACTGTCCGTACCTACATCCCAGTGGCTCTCCACCCAGGTGCCCAGGACTGGAGGCCCACGGGCCCCTGTTTCATCGTTCAGGAAACCCCAGTGTTGCTAACAAAGCAGGAGCTACCACAGCCCTCCAAAAGGCTTCCTCTTTCTTCATCTCTTTCCGACACTTATAAATGTGCTTCCTCTGCCTATGTAAATTTGGTTCAAATGGCACAACGCAGGCTTGTAATGAGGCCATTAATAACTAGCCTTTTAACAGGCTCTTCTTGGTTTCCTGGTGCAGGAATCAATTCTAATCTAGACAGACACTGATGTCTGGATTTACTGGTATGAGGACAGACAAATGGGCTTTGTTCAGGGCAGGCAGACACATAAACGCGGTTTATTTTCACCTAGCCAAGAACTGAGAGGCCAAAGGCAGCTCTTGATAATAGCCAAGCCTTGGAAATTGTGAGAAAAATTTCTTTCTTTTTTCTCCTTACCACTCAATCATCAGACTTCCAGCAAAGGGTGAGAGGGTATTTTGCTGATCCTGAGCATTCTGACCAGCTGAAACCATGAAGTTGAGCTGGTCGGTTTCACTTTCCATTTTTCAGACGAGTAACTTTCTATTTCTTGCTTTTCACTGGGAAACATTGTGTCTGGACTCACAGGGTGGTCAAGGTGGGGTCTAGGGTGTGATGCTCTTTGGTGAAGGGCTTAAAGAAAGAAAAAACACCAAGATGGCACTCCAAATTCCGCTGAAATAATTACGGGCCAAAATTAAAACTCTTTTAACCCAGGAGCTGCTAATTAACCCAATTAAAATTGGGGCTACTACCAAGGCTCTAAAGATAGTGTATAATATTTCCTAGCAACATAAATGCAGTTACTGAGAGATTCTTGAAAAGCACATTCAACTAAGAAGGCCTGGATTCAAGCCCCACCTCTGCCATTTACCAGGTAATCTTGACTCTTCTAAGCTTCTGTTTTCCTCTCCTTAAAGAAGAGAATATGTACACCTGCCTGGCCCATTGCACAGGCTTGTTGGAATTAAGAGATAAACGTGCAGAAGCCCTTTGAACACTAAAATGTACTAGACAGAGTTAAATCAATCATCCTTGTTTAGCTGTTGACCAAATTGTTCTTCTACTTGACTGTGATTTCTCTAAGAACAGATTCCCTGACATTCATTCATCTTTGTATCTCCCCAGGGCCTAGAATATAGTAAGAAATCAATAAATGCTTTTTGCATGAATGGGTGAATCGATGAATGAGATAAGACCAACCACCTAAGTTACTAGCAGGGAAAACAACAACACCTCAGGGAGGACCACCGCAAGGATTCGTGCGCCTGGAGGCTTTTAGTGTGGAATTGGGAGAGAAACAGGAAACTGTCTCACCTCCTAATTTATGACAGCAGGCTGAACCAAGCTGCCCTGAAGATTCTGCATGGTACACTGCATTAGTCCAGGTCTTCCAAAACACAAAGGCTGAATTGGGATTAAACATACAAGGATTTTATTAGGGAAAGTGTCTGGGACTGAAACTGGGGAGGAAGGCTGGGAGAACCTCAGGCTGTCTGAGCCCGAATGAAGAAGAGAGGAGAGGAAGGTTGGTCGGAAGTGTCCTAAACACTAAGGCAGTCTAAGGGAAGTTGTGCAAATCTGTCAGAGAGTCCTCAAACTGAAGGTGGCCACTGGAGAGTCCCATGCCTTCCAGGAATGGCCTGCTGTAGCATCCACATCATGCTCAGTTGGCTGGGAGCAGCCATGGGAAGCAGGGCCTCGGTCGAAGCCATGATGGACTGAGAGTGTGGCACTGCGGCCAACAGTCAATTCCATTCTCAGCAGCGGGAGGCCTTCAAGGCGCATTCTCACGGCTGCCGCATACATGGCAGTACTTCTGAGCGTGGAGTTGGGAGTCCAGACCATCTGGATTGAATCCCTGCTCTCACCAGCTGGTGACCTCAGGCAAGTTACATGATCCCTTGAGGCCTCATTTTCCTTATTTGTAAAATGGAGATTATAATTCCTGCCTCTCGAGATTGTTGTTGTCAAACGCTATGTCTGCCACATAATAATTGTTCAGTAAAAGGCAGCTGCCATTCCTCTGTCCCTTATTATTGTTATTCATGAATATCAATACTTATATTAACAAGTAATCATAATATATTAATATATAATATACTAATAATTATACAATAAAATTAATATAGTAATAAGTAATGATATTACTTAATAATTAAGTCTCAGAACAAAATAGTATTATATTATTTAATATACTTATTATTATAAGTATTATATACTTATTATTATAATAGTAAGTACTTCTTTTTTTTTTTCAAGCTCCAGCAATTTTTATTTTCATGTTTGAGAGTTGGAGATCATCTGTGAAGGGCACTGACTGCTGCCTGTCGCCCACTCTCTATACAATCATTAACAGCAACCCCCTCATGGGAGGCTCCAGCCAGAGTTAGAGGCAACCTTTGAGCAGCCAGGAACTGCCTAGCTGACTCCAGTTTTTGCCAGTGACCTAGTGTATACTGGGGGATGCAGTTCTTGTGTGGATGGACCAAGCAGTAACTTGGTGGCTCCGTCAGTCCTAATTGTGTGGCAGCTGCTTTCTGTGCCTGGTGTTGGAACAGCTCCTGAGATAAGACACATCCACTGGCCTCCAGTGTCTGTAACCAGGAACCCACGTCATTACCTGGACAGGCAGACGAGCTCCTCGGTACTGCAGATTCACCACAGCTACAGACACAGCAGTGATGGCACTCGGCACAGCCAGAGGAGCAGCCTCAGCAGGGAGCAGCTTGCTGAGCACTGAAGCTGGAATGGCACTAATAACGTGGTCAGCCTCCAGACTGCTGTCCCCTAGAGACACCTCCAGCGCCCTGCTGCCTAGAGGCTGAGCCCAGAGACTGGATGGCCTTTGAGAACACTGATCCCCCTACTAGTCAGGTGGGTTTCAAGGGCCTGGGGTAACATCTCCAGACCTCCACGGAGGGACCACTGGCTCCGGCGCTCAGCCTGGGCCTGGCGAATGAGTGCTGAGTCCAGCTGTGGGCTCTGCCCTGCTCCCAGCAGCATCCCCAGTAATATGGAACGATGGGTTTGCTCAGCTTGAAAGAGACTGGGAAGGCAAGACCTGATGCTGAGCTCACGGCTGTTGCCTGCAAACACTCCACAGCAGAGACTGTCCATGGCTAGAGACGCCACCTTGAGCAAAGTTTGGGCTCCCAAGGCTCCCTCGGGCCTAATTCCCCAAGGTCCAAGTTCAAAAATAGCACCATTGCGCCCTCGGACTGAGCGAATCCAGCTTCCCAGACGCTCGCTGCCCTCCACCAGGACCACCTTAGGGGGGTAAGGGGCCGGCTCAGGTGGTAACTGGCAGCCAAGCCGCTGATGCCTCCGCCCAGCACGACCACGGTCCGGCCACGAGAGGTAGGGAGAAATGAGAGAAAATGTGGAAGAAAGAGGTCTAGTTGCTAAGACCTTACTCCACAGGCACTTCGCTGGGTGCAGATAAGGGGCAGACCCACACTATCTGCCCCTGCAGGGCTCAGGCGGCAGGCTGGCTGCAGCACTTCTGAGGCGCTTTGCCTCCCCATTCCTCACTAGGCCAACAAGCGCTTCAAACCCGCCTCTCCTGCCCCTAATCCTTTTTTCAATAGCAAGTACTATTAGCAATGAGGACCTGAGAATAGTCCCCACTGTTACATACTTGTACTGGAATCTTTTGAGGCCACCTCGGGGACAGGGACATGGCCTAAAACCATGGCTTAGCAGTATCACAAGTTAACCAACCAAACCAGTTTGTCTACACAGGAAAGATCAGAGGGATTTTCCCAGTTTGGCTGTTTCCTGGAGGGGCCGCCAGGGTGGGTTGCATTGTGCCAGAATCTACCTGAAGCCACAACCTCCTCTCCTCCCTTCTGCCTGCAGTGTCCATTAGCAACAGCCTCAGTCTGTCCCTGCCAGCTGTGAGACCCCCGTCTGCCTCGGAAAGAAAACACGGTCAAGAAATCTTCCCCTCAAGAACAGGATCATCCTTGGGCCCTGAGAGACATGACTCTTAGCTGTGCCGAATCCATTGTGAGGACCCATTTGGGGACTCTTTTCTTGCCTTTGTCTCTGTGACCTTGCTTTTTTTAAACCTTGGCCAACTTTCGGTAGCGGTCACTGCCTGGCTACTGCTGGCCTCTGACCCCTACATCCTGCTGGACTCACAGAGTGTCCCTTGCTGGGCTGGTATGACCAGAGGCAATTACAGGTCTCAGGGCCCCAGTTGAGCTAGCTTAGGCCTCTCTCAGCCTTGCTGACACTCATGCCTTGGTGACAGTAACAACCAAGAACCAACAAGGAAAGGAGCCCCAGACAAACTGGAAACTGTGCTCTTATCTCTTTCCCCGACACTTAGAGCCCTTTTCTCCAGCTCCCTTTTCCCAGAGGGTCACCAAAAACACACGCTGGGGTTTTCTGTTGTTCTGTCTTTGAAAGAATGACCTTCAGTTTTTCTAACTGAAAGAGTCCAAATTAAACTAAAAACATTGATTTTGTTTAATAATTAACAGCTTAACAAAGCCAATCGAACTGTTCCAGGATAATAATCTGCATTTCACAGGGACTTTTCCAGGGGGTTTTAGTTTCCATGTCGGAGCTAGAATCCAACACTTGGGCTGCCTTGTTTCAGCCTGAGGTTGGACAGCAGAGGACACAAAACACAGGACTGGCTGAGCCTGCCCAACCAGGCCTAACTGGGCCTCCCCGTCTGAGGAGGGGTCGTACTGCAAGGTGGAAGTAAAGTCTGAGAGCAGCACAACAGGCTGGCCACTTGTGCAGCCTCCAGCGCGGCTCCTTTTTCTCCGCTGCTGCTCCACACCAGAGCCAGGAGGCGCGAGCTGACCTGGCACCAGACATGCCTAGTGTCCAGGAGAGAGAACTGCAACACCAGGGAGAAACGCGATTAAGCCATCTTTTGCCCCCACGGCACATAAAAATATTTACGGGCTTCGGGCTTCGTAATTAGCCTTCTCACATCACCTTTCTTTATCTCTGGTTTGCATTCATGCCTCTCATTAACTGAAAAACCAATCATGCTTGGTTTCTTTGCAGATCCAAATTCTTTAAGAAATGATACCCTGAAGTCAAACCTGGGCATTCTCCCATTCCTACCCTAAGGCCAGCTATTCATTAGCCACCACTAACCCCTTGGCCTTGTTGAGTCACTTCTCCTCTCAAAGCCCAGTTTGTCCTCCTCTGTGTTAAGACAGAGTGGACAATGCAGTTTGATTTCTGAGACCCTGCCCAGACCTGACACTCTGTGAGTCTACTGGCCTTGCCACCTTAGTGCATTCTCACTAAGCAAGAAAATGCGGCCCTTTGACCTTCTGTAAATATTTCTCCCCAATAAGCACAGTTTGGTTAGGTGTAGCATGAGATATAAAGTAAGAGACAGACTTTTCAGTCTGGGGTCGCAAGCATGAGGACACAATATAGTTTTCATTGTTATTTTATTGGGATCACTAGAAACCTAATCAACACTGGAATCAGGGTCAAGAACAATCTTTCCCAGTGGTTCTCATCTCCTTAGAGGGAGGCAGGAGATTTTGCAAAGGTCCTGCCAGGGTAATGAATTAGAATGGAGAAACCGTGTAGCTGTTAGAAGCATAGCCAATTATATTCTCATTTTATATTTAAAAATTGTTTAACTGCTATTTTTATAATATGAACTATGGAAAGGGAATGTGTGTCAAAAGGGATCGTGGGTTAAAACCTTCCTTCCCTGGAATCCTGGCAACCTACTGTCCACCTCTCCAATACTGCCCTCAACCTCTGCCCACTGGCCACAAGACCTCACTCTTTTTCACTTTTCCCCTCCATGATATCGCAGTCCTTTGCACTTCGTGTTTTTCCAACCCAGCAGCCACAATATAGTTTATTTCCTCTTTGGTCAGGGTTCAACGATCTTCCAAAAGTAGGGGTGCCAGACACAGACCCCTGTAGGGGAAGAGGAGAGTGGCCCACTCACACAAAGTAGGCAAGGAGCACCTGGAAGGTTCTCATGCACAAAAACCTCCCCCACCTCCACATTCTACTAATAAAAGCTTCATCCGAGTTATTACACTGGGGATAATGCAAATGCTCTGGGGAAGGGTTCAGCTTCACGGTCACTCACACCTTAGCGAGAATTATTTTTGAATCTTAGATCATCAGAGTTTGAAAAAACCTTAAGAATCATCTAGTACAAAATTGCACTAAATGATTTTTGTGTTTTTTTTTTTACCATGGTCAACCTCTATTTGAATATTACAGTGACAAGAGTTCCCTTCTTGAGTCTACTCCACTGATGTACATTTTGAATTATCTGTGAAAGCTCATCCTCATCTTCAGTCCAACCCTACGGAATACGTTAAGATGGTCCTGCTACAAGTAAGAGAAATCCCAACTCAAAATGCCTTAAACATTAAGGACATTTAACTTCCAGAACAAAAAATGTAGTGGTCAAGTGAGTTTGGGGGTTGGTGAGCTTTCAGCCACATCACAAAGTCGCAGGCTCCTTCCATCTCTCTATTCCATCATCTGAGGCACAGGCTTCATTCTCAGGCTGGTGCAGAGAGCGCGGGAACTTCCACCATAACGTCCACCACTCCTGCCTCCAGGAACCTCCACCTCTAACAGAGTCCTCCCCTACCCTGCAATCAGAGCACAGCCACGGCCCTTTCTACAACATGGCTCCTACATGGTTCCAGTCTCCCTGGTGGGTCTTCACTAGACACAGTCTAGTTGGCCCAAGAGCAGAACGTAGGATCGTCCTGTTGAACCAGATCAAGAAGTCCAAGATCAAGGCGTCAGTAGGGTCAGTTTCTTCTCAGGCCTCTCTTCTTGGCTTGCAGATGGCTGTCTTCTCACTATGTCCTCATATAGTCTTTCTACTGTGTGTGTCTGTGTCCTAACCTCTTCTCACAAGGACACCAGTCATGTTGAATAAGGGCCCATCCATATGACCTCATTTTACCTTAATTACCTCTTTAAATGCCCTATCTCCAAATCCAGTCACATTCTGAGGTACTGAGGGTCAGGACTTCCCCATATGAAGATGAGGAGACACAATTCACCCCATAACAAATGTGATGTCTGACTTCTGTGCACGCCTCAGAGTCAGAGAACAACTGGACACGAAACCTCAGGCAGAGCTCTGGCTCTTCTCCAGCCACTCCTGCAAGGAGGGCCACGGACCCAATCCCCTTCTCCTGTTATGCTGAGATCATCTCTCTGGAGAGGGGATTTTGACTAGGTTTGGGAGAATGCTCAAGAGAAAGATCATTCTGGAAACGTGGGCACTTCACGTTAAGCAAAAAGAAGGCTCTGCCGGGTGATTCCATGGTCAGAGTGGGTGACTCTAGACCCAAAGGTGCTGAATTGGGGGCTGCTGCCCAGGAGAGGCGTGACGACGGAGGTTAAAGGACAAAGAGCACAGAGGTTATCAGAAGGCAAATCCAATGATTTCCCAGTTTTACTTAGGCACAGGTAGTGGCAACTGCATCTGGGACACTGAAACTTAACCTGTATCATAGAATGACTGTCTGTCTGTGATTAGCCAGGTGGGCAGTGATGACTTGGCATTTTACCTAGGGACTTGAAGTCCCAAGTTTCTATAGAAGCAGCCAATGAAAAGCAACTGGTAGGAATACTTTCACATTCTCATTGTCTTTAAAAAACATACACACAAATATGTGTGTGTGTGTGTACAGAGAGAGAGGTTGAGAGAGGGGAGAAAGAGATGTATTATACTATCAGAGTAACTACACATAAATATCAGAAAAGCAAGCAGCTAGCACTAAAAAGTAAGATTTAGATAAACAAGCACCTTTTCATAGATCAGTCACTCCTGATCCTTAACTGTGCCTTCTTAGGTTAAATCGCTTAACTTCAGAGGCAAAAGCCTGCACTCCAGGTCGACTTACAATTTGAATGCTTGAAGCTTTAGGGAAACCCAATGTTATTACTGCTCTGCTGATTTTCTCTCCTTCTTGCTGGTGAGAGCAAGTGCTCAAAGGATGGAAATGGTGGCTGGAGGGTCTGCAAAGACTGCTCAGCCCTGCTCCTACATCTGATGCCTGAAATTCCCCACAACCAAATGCCTACTTTAAACCAACGGAACGGGTGCATGGGAGTTCACCTCTGCAAGAGCTGCCTTCTCTCCAAGGAAACACTTTATCCCTTCTTCAACTTCCTCAATGAAGAAATTGTCCAGGGCTGGGCGCGGTGGCTCACGCCTGTAATCCTAGCACTCTGGGAGGCTGAGGTGGGCGGATTGCTCGAGGTCAGGAGTTCGAAACCAGCCTGAGAAAGTGCGAGACCCTGTCTCTACTATAAATAGAAATAAATTAATTGGCCAACTAATATATATAGAAAAATTAGCCAGGCATGGTGGCACATGCCTACAGTCCCAGCTACTCGGGAGGCTGAGGCAGAAGGATTGCTTGAGCCCAGGAGTTTGAGGTTGCTGTGAGCTAGGCTGACGCCAAGGCACTCACTCTAGCCTGGGCAACAGAGTGAGACTCTGTCTCAAAAAAAAAAAAAAAAAAGAAATTGTCCAGGGAAAAGAGAAACACCTTTTTTTGTCCCCTGCTCTAATTTGTACTGCCTCACCATGATGAGATAAGTCTGTGCTGACATGATACCCGGGTGGGGAAGGAGCTGTGTGATCCCATCATTCTTCTTCTTTTTTTCCCCATTAATAAATGCTTTTTAGCCACTTCACCAACTGACCCCAAGCCTTACCTCTGGTCTCCAATCAAAACCTTAATGGGATTTTACATAAACTGAAATTTACATTCAATCATCACCATAGCAACCATCACACAGAATTAGATACAACTTTTCCATCTCTGATATACTCTACTATTTTTTTTAAAGAGCTGCTTTCCTCTCCAGTTGCAAATCCAAGCTATTCAGAAGATAACCATTAACAATCTACTTTGAAAAAACTACATTTAAAGACCGTAACAAGGTTCTAAAAACAGGCACTTGAAGTGGTTTCTAGACACGTGGAAACATACACTTATCCCCTCAACTGTGGCCTTAATGTTGCTGAAGTCTTAAGGATCTGGCCCAGTGCTAGGAATTAAATCAAACAAGGCTTCCCTCAAAAGTGTGACAGCCATGCCTTGAAAGGGGCCCTACGATAACAACTCTAAGGTAGGGCAGAAAATTCTGCTAATTTCCAAAAGATATATGCATCATGTTTTTAAAAAAAACACAATTAAACAAGGTTGGAATTGGACTATTCATTGTGCAACTGGCAAATCCATTGAAATTTCTAGAATTCATCTATTCACTGAAGAGGAGCTATTCACTGCTAATGTGGCTCAAGGCTACGTGGGAATACGCCAAGGTAAGCAGAGTAAGCCAGAGATAAGAGGAGAGATGCCCACCCAAGAAGTCTCATTTTCCCTCATTCTATGAGTACAATGTCACAAGAGAGGCCCTGGGTATTTGCAGATGTTGGAAATGTATTTCAGATTTACTAAAAGGTAAGAAAAGATACCTTTCAGAAATTCTACTAAAACAATAAAAAACCCACTTATGAAACTAACCCCACTAACAAATTAACAAGCACCTAACCATCTCATCACTCCTCTATATCTCCTTCCTTGGCTGCTCACAGTCCCAGAAATGGGGTAATTCAGTTGTACTGAAAATTGAGATAATAAAATCAGGTCATTTTCCATAAGCCAAATAATTGTATCTTATTTATTTAAACCATAATGCAGTGATGCTCCGATCATTCATTTACTCGTCCATCAAATGTTTACTGAGCACTGGAAGACACTGGCATATGCTGAGAGCTGCATCTGACAAAGACGAGTGAGACTCCATCCAAGACCTCCTTGCTTCTCTGATCCATAGTGTGGCAGATATTTTATGCCAAAATGTCAGGGAAATCTTAATCCATTTTCTCTGAATAAACATCCAAGGTTATGTCTATATACACAAGGGAGTGCCAGTCGCATGGCTTGCTGCTCATTTTAACAACTCCAGTTTGGAACACCAGAACTAGACTGATGGTTAATAGGCCACCACTTCTATTCTTAAGACCTAGTAGACCTCACCACAGAACACTTATTTTGAGATTTCTGAAAACACCCTGCAACT